AACATAGCAAAATCCTATCTCTACAAAAAAATAGAACAATTAGTTGGGGCATAGTGGTACATGCCTATAGTCCCAGCTACTCAGGAGGCTGAGGTGAGAGGACCACTTGAGCCCAGGAGTTCGAGGCTGCAGTGACCTATGATTGTGCCACTGTACCCCAGGCTGGGCAACAGAGCAAGACTTTGTCTCAAAAATAATAGTGATGCTAATAATAGTGACATCATTTATCCTACGCCAAGCACTAGGCGTTTTCCTTGCAACCACTTGTCAATGTAGAGCCAACTGTCCTATTTTTACAAATGAGGAAACTGAGGCTCAAAGATCCCCCGCCTGGCCACAGAATGACAGAAGCTAGGATTTGGGCCCTCAAAATCTCCTCTTACCTCACTGTCTTGCCGCTTAGCAAGACTGCAGACATCGACTGCACTTATCCAAAGCAGACACCCCAGAGACCAGGCACTTGTTCTGAAAATGCTCTGGCTGGTAAAAGCCCATCTCAGCACATCCCTCCAAGGAAGCACATCCTTATTCTTTTGCAAGATGGCCTGGCCTTTAGAAATAACTGGAGTTGGTCAGGTGTGGTGGCTTACACCTGTAATCCCAGCACTTTGGGAGGCAGAGGCGGATGGATCACAAAGTCAGGAGTTCGAGACTAGCTAGACCAATACGGTGAAACACCTACTAAAAATACAAAAATTAGCCCAGCGCAGTGGCGTGCGCCTGTAGTCCCAGTTACTTGGGAGGTTGAGGCAGAAGAATTGCTTGAACCTGGGAGGCGGAGGCTGCAGTCAGCTGAGATTGAACCACTGCACTCCAGCCTGGGTGACAGAGCGAGACTGTCTCACAAAAAAAAAGAAAAAAGAAGTAACTCGAGTCATTTGGAGCTAATTCGGGAAGCAAAGCAACAAGTTACATACAGGAATGCTATTTTGGATACAAGACGAAAGGTATGACTCTAAACACCCTCTTTCGCAAAATCCTTCAGGAGGTTGGGACAATTTAGCAATGTTATTTTATCTATTTTATTTTATTTTATTTTTTAGACAGAGTCGTGCTCTGTCACCAGACTGGAGTGCCAGTGGCACGATCTCGGCTCACTGAAACCTCTGCCTCCCAGGTTCAAGCAATTCTCCTGCCTCAGCCTCCTGAGTAGCTGGGACCACAGGTGTGTGCTACCACGCCCAGCTAATTTTTGTATTTTTAGTAGAGACGGGGTTTCACCATGTCGGCCAGGATGGTCTCGATCTCTTGACCTCGTGATCCGCCCGCCTCAGCCTCCCAAAGTGCTGGGATTATAGGTTTAACAATGGTTTTATGCGTGGTTTAAAGCTCCCCTGGCCCAGGCACAGTAGCTCATGCCTATAGTCCCAGCACTTTGGGAGGCCGAGGCGGGTAGGTTGCTTGAGTCCAGGAGTTCAAGACAACATAGTGAGAAATTTTTGATTTCTAATAAAACTTAAAAAAAAAAAAAAAAACCTCCCCTGGGAGGCCGGGTGAGGTGGCTCACCCCTATAATCCCAGCACTTTGGGAGGCTGAGGTAAGAGGATCACTTGAATCCAGGAGTTCGAGACCAGACCAGGCAACATAGCAAGACATTGTCTCTGAAAAAAATAAAGTATAAAAAGAAAAAATAGCTGGACATGGTGGTGCACATCTGTGGTCCTAGCTACTGAGGAGGCTGAGGTGGGAGGATGGCTCGGGCCCAGAAGGTTGAGGCTGCACTGAGCCGTAAACACTGCACTCCAGCCTGGATGACAGAGCGAAACCCTGTCTCAAAAATAAAAATAAAAATAAAGCTCCCTAGGAGTCTGAGGCACAGCCTGATCTGGCACCCTCTGCCTTAGGGGTTGGTCAGCTTTTTCAGACTTTCAGGTGGTGGCTCTCAAACTTCAGAGAGCACCACAGAAACCCAGGGTCTGTGTTTAATATGCTGATTCCTGGGCCCCGCTCTCAGAGCGGCTGATTCTGGCAGCCAGGGGAGAAGTCTGTGAGTCTGCATTTCCAGTCAACCCTCCAGGTGACTGTGCTGCAGCTGTCTGGAGGCCCACATCCGACAGACGGGAACTGCTTTCATTGAAACCAACCTGTCTCCAGGCTCTGCGGTCACACCCCACGGGCTCTGCTAAAGCTGCAAAAGCAGCTACCAGGCCGGCCTCAGTCCCTTCCCCCACCTCCTGCACAGTGAGGAGGGCAAGATGGTTATCTCCCAAGGTGTGGATGGCGTGGCCAGGGTGGCCTGTTTTGTCACCAGGACATTAACACCTCTAATAACCGGGGACAGGGAGAAGAGGAGCTGGCCTAGGCTGAGTGTGGAGTGTTCTGGAAGCCTTCCAGAAAGGGAAGCAGGAATGACTGGGCTTCCTTCTCTCCCCTCCCCCAAAACCCACAGGGTGAAGCAATGAGGCCGGCCAGGGGGCTGGAGGGTGCAGCTTGGGAGCAAGTGTCACTGATCAAAGACAAGGGCCTTCACATGAAAAGCTGCAGCGGCTGAAGAGTCAACATTCCAGCTCTGCAAACCACCCTGGGTTTTCCCCATCATCTACGGCCATCTCCCCCTCCCCCCGACTTTCCAAGTGGGGAGCTCTGAGACACACACTGAAGGTCTTGCCCTTTGGAGGGTCTGCGCGAAGGGAAGCTCTGGGGTGTGAGGCCAGGCCCTGGTGTATAAAGAGTCAACTGTGACAGGCCTCTTGGAGGGGCGGGGAGAAGGATTCGAGTGCCCGTCCCCAGGCAGGCCCTGCTAGCCAAAAGGAAGTGTTCCATTTCCTCAGGCTACCAACTGCAAACTGCAGGTCCAGTTGCAAAACTCATTCACAGTAAGCCTGCAACCAGCATCTTTTTTTTTTTTTTTTTTTTTGAGACGGAGTTTCGCTCTTGTTACCCAGGCTGGAGTGCAATGGTGCGATCTCGGCTCACCGCAACCTCCGCCTCCTGGGTTCAGGCAATTCTCCTGCCTCAGCCTCCTGAGTAGCTGGGATGACAGGCACGTAGCCACCATGCCCAGCTACTTTTTTGTATTTTTAGTAGAGACGGGGTTTCACCATGTTGACCAGGATGGTCTCGATCTCTCGACCTCGTGATCCACCCGCCTCGGCCTCCCAAAGTGCTGGGATTAAAGGCTTGAGCCACCGCGCCCGGCCTGCAGCATCTTTTTTTATTGGAAACAGGGTCTCACTCTGTTGCTCAGGCTAGAATGCAGTGGTGCAATTATGGCTCACTGTAGCCTCGACCCTCTGGGCTCAAGTGATCCTCCCATGTCAGCCTCTTGAGGAGCTAAGACCACTGGCGCGTGCCATCATACCTGGCTAGTTTTTGTATTTTTTTGTAGAAACGTTTTTACTATGTTCCCCAGGCTGGTCTCAAACTCCTGGACTCAAGCAATCCTCCCACCTCAACCTGCCAAAGTGTTGGGAATTCAGTCCTTGAAGAAGCTGTATGATGTGAGGGTGTGTGGGGGCCTGCAACCAGCATCTTTAGAAAAGATCTGAGCGTAGTGGCTCACGCCTGTAATCCCAGCACTTTGGGAAGCCGAGGCGGGCGGATCACCTGAGGTCAGGCGTTGGAGACCAGCCTGTCCAACGTGGCGAAACGCCATCTACCAAAACTACAAAAGTTAGCTGGGAAGGGGGGGGCGGGGGTGGTGGTGGTGCGCACCTGTAGTCCTGACTACTCTACTTGGGAGGCTGAGGCAGGAGAATCACTTGAACCCTGGAGGTGGAGCACCACTGCACTCCAGCGTGAGCAACAGAGTGAGACTCTCTCAAAAACAAAGATCTGACCGTGCTCGAAGTAAGAAGTACTCATGCATGAAAGCTTCCATTCTGTTTTCCCTCTCCATAAATGTATGCCTGTCGATGGGTCAGACGTCAGATGTGTGTTTTATTGTAAGCTGAAGTCGGTTTGAAAACCACAGTTTGGGCACGGCTGGTTCTGCTGCGTGTGGGCTGGCCGTGCTTCTGAAATCCACCTGACCCACCACCGAAGCCCATTCGAGGCATGGCCCAGCCAAGCTCTGAAAGGAGCGCCCTGCCGAGGGGGCCAGGTGGAGGGTGGGAAGGGCTGTGGGGCCCAGGGAGGGGGTGCCGAGGTGACCACCGGAAAGCCAGGCCCTCCCCCAATCTCTCTCCCCAGTTCCTCAGCCCAGGGTGACACTGGGAACTCAGTGATCCCTTCCTGTTCCATTCATGAAGACAACTGCCTGACTAAACCCTCCCTGGCAGGACCTCCTAGGTCAGGCTGGCTGGGCACCCCCTGTTGTTCTGTGTGCGGGTCCCCTGCCTGGGCTCTGTGGTTGCTGCTCCCCGCAGCACCCTGCCCCCACCTGCCTAAAGCCACACAGGCTGCTTGCCTGGGGCTCTGCCAAGCAGGAAACCGAGGCCTGTTCTCTGGCCACAGGTGCCATGGAGGGCACATGACACTGGGGACAGCTGATTCCCCCGCCCACTCCTGCCATAGCCAGATGCCACTGACCATCGGGGAGGCGTGGGGTCTGAGCCAGGGGGTGCAGGGCTGGCGGGCAAAGCCTGCTGGGGTTTTTACACAGGAAGGAAGAGCAGGCTGAGGTGGGGGAGGAAGCCGAGGAAGGCGGAAATGACTGCAATGTTGGCACCCAGACACAGACCAGGGAGGCCAGGCACTCCCCACCCCCCAGTTTTGACCTTTGTGCTAAGATGAGATGTGCCATCTACACCCTGATACCCACCATACCCAGAAAAAAGAACAACAGCTTCAGAGAGAGTAGGGGGGTGATTTTGCACACAGCTCCCCCCTCCCCACCTCCGCCCAGAACACAGTCCCTTCAAGGAGGAAATACTACACGGGCTGGTCTGGGGGTGCCCAGAGAAGAGGCATCTGGGAATCCCAAGCTCTTCCCCAGGACCACCCAGGACAGCAGGGGCAGTGGAGGCAGTGACCTCCTTCACGTCTGCCAGGCTGGCAGGGAGGGGACCCAACAGAGGGCAGCGGGGACACCAAGGGGCAGGGTGGGGCAGGAGCTCACGTTACTGATCTGGTCCTGGGTCTTCTTGATTCTCTGGAGCTCAGGCGTGTCCGCGACCACGCTGAAGCCTTTGCCCTTGTTCTTCTCAAACTCCTCCTTGTAGCGCACCTGCAGGAGGGCGGAAGAGGGACCGGAGTCAGGCCTCAGCTTGGGGCCCTCCGAAGCAGCAACCAGTCAGAAAACAGGGACAGAAGGTCAGGAGAAAGACCCTGACCGGAAGTCCCCAACGCAAAGCAGAAGCCTCGGCCAAAAGGCGTTAGACTCGTAATAAGCCACTACCAAGTCTTCAGTGCACTGAGTGGCAGGCACAGAGCCAAGGGTCTTACATGAACCATCTCATTTAAGTCCTACCCTATGTACATGCACGCAATTAACAGCTCCATTTTACCCATCAGGAAACAGAGCCACAGAGAGCCAAAGTGCCCTGCCTGAGGTCACAGAGCTTAGTGGTCCGGGTCCAGTGCAAACCCTCAACTGCCTGACTCCTGACCCTTCACTCCCAGCCCATCCTGTCTGGAAGCTTATAGGAAAAAGGTTCTTTCCAGAGCTCCCAGGGCGGCCCCAGCCCTCATGTTAGCCAGGATGTGGCCCTGCCCACTGCGCCTGGGGGAGCTTTTCAGCAACCAGCTGAGTGAGGCTGTGCCAAAGGACAGAGTTGGTGCCCAGAAAGGAGGGCTGTGAGACGGGCCCCGGGGCAGGCTCCATCAATGCGCCTTTGACAGGCCGCACAGACTCTGGGAGCCTGCTGGGCTGGCTTCGGAGGCCACCGCCATAGGAGGGGAGGAAAGTGGCGGGGGTCAGACACATCTCAGCAGGTCTCCAAGCTCCAGGGAAGAACCCTTCCACCCCACCACAGTACCAGAGAGACTCAAGTCAGACATCAGAAAGGACTTCCCTGGCACGAAAAGAACTGAAATATGAGGTACAGCTTGTCCTCCCTGGGGGTTGTGAAGAACAGAATGAGGCTGAGAAAACTCGTGGAACAGGAAACCGCTCCTTGGCTTCCAGAGACCTCACTGTCCACCTCAGCAGCCATCTGTTCCAGACCCCGCCAGCTGCTTGGACTTCCTCCTTGGGGGCTGCACTGTCCTGAACTCAGGTCAGCCCAGGACACAGGGCCCAGGACCCTGGGAGTTTCTAGGAGGACAAACACGGGCAGTTCCCAAGCAGGGACTCATCTGGCAGCAGCATCGAGCTGTGCTTGAACTGGAGCAGCTGCACATGCGCACGCAGCCACCGCCACACCCGAAGGCCCTCCGCACATCCCACAGGGGGGCGGAGTCCTGGTTTGTCCCCTGAGGTCCCTGTCACTCACCCATGTGGTTCCCTCTCCTTCACTGTTCTGATCCAGACAAGAGGGGCCTGGATGTGTTGGTCCCCATCAGATCAGAAGTGAATGCAGTGGACAGAGGCACCAACCCAGCCAAGAGTCCATAACCTGCCTGGCACCAGCTCTTCCAGGAAGTCACCTGGGCCAGCAAGGTGACTCTTAGTGGGAGGCCCTTTGGGAAGCAGGTATTGGGGAAAGTAAGGCACTCAGAGACAGAAAAATCTAGCTGCAGATACAGAAGCCCTGCATCTAAAGCCCCTGGCCTCATTTTCCTCATTTGTGAAAGAGTTATCACAGAAATCAGCTATAATATGGGGAGGGGCTTATCACCAAGTATGGGCACAAAGCCAGGCGGAGCCAGCACTAACACAGGCTCAGTCTCCCACTTCTGAGTGATCCTGGGCCAGTGACTTAACATCTCAAGACTCAGTTCCACCAGCCACAGTGGCTCACGCCTGTAATCCCAGCACTTTGGGAGACCAAGACAGGTGGATCACTTGAGGTCAAGAGTTCAAGACCAACCTGGCCAACTTGGTGAAACCCCATCTTTAGTACATTTTTGTACTAAAAATACAAAAATTAGCCGGGCATGGTGGTGGGCACCTGTAATCCCAGCTACTCAGGAGGCTGAGGCAGAAGAATCACTTGAACCTGGAAGGTGGAGGTTGCAGTGAGCCGAGATCACACCACTGTACTCCAGCCTGGGTGACAGAGCAAGACTTCATCTCGGGAAAAGAAAAGGCAGTTCCCACTACTGTAAAATGGGGACCATAATGCCAGTCATTCCAACCCATGAAGCAGACAGCGGCTCCAAAGCAGCAGCGTGCCATGGAGCGCGCAGTAGGACTGGACATGCGCTGATGAGGGCCAGTGTGAAAATGCTCTGTCAGCGATGAAGTGCTGAACAAATGCCAGCCCCCACTCCTTCCCCTGCTTCCTGGCTTTGCAAGGGTCAGGCCCCTAATCCAGGGGAATAATCGCCATGGCGACACTGCAATGACATCAGCTGGTTCCCAGGCTCGGGAACCACTTTCACCCCCACCCCCACCCCCCCCCCCCCCCCCCCCGCCGTTAGGGAAGGATCATTCATTTCACTGCTGACATAGGAGGAGGCCCTCAGAGGGTGGGGCTGGGGGTAGGGGCTAAGAAAGGAGGATGCCTAGAATTACCACCACCTTGCTGTGTGTCTCTAAGCAAGTCAGTTCCCCTCTCAGGGTCCCCTGAAGGGAGCTGGCTAGCTGATCTCTACAAGCCCTCCCGTTTGGAATCTGTAACCACTTTTTTTTTTTTTTTTTTTTTTTTTGACAAAGTATAGTTCCGTCGCCCAGGCTGGAGTGCAATGGCATGATCTCAGCCCACTGAAACCTCTGCCTCCTGGGTTCAAGCAATTCTCCTGTCTCAGCCTCCCAAGTAGCTGGGATTACAGGAATCCACCACCATGCTGGGCTAATTTTTTATATTTTTAGTAGAGACAGGGTTTCACCATGTTGGCCAGGCTAGTCTCGAACTCCTGACCTCAGGTGATCCACCCACCTTGGCCTCCAAAAGTGCTGGGATTACAGGCATGGGCCACCACGCCTGCATCTGTCACCATTTTTAAGCACCTTTACACCCTGACTGTGGAGAATCAAGACAGGGAAGACTCTTTGAGAGGCCTCTGGGTAGGGAAGGGGTGGCAGAAGTGAAGGGTGGGGGGCCAGGAGTGTAGAGGGGACCCAGCCCGGAGGCCCTCCATCGGGGCTCCCTTCTCACCCAGGCAGGAGTGCTTGCCCTGTTGTCTAGGATGGCTCACCAGGATGCTGTGCGGGTCCCTGTGGAGGGAGGGACCTGCCCAAGATCACAACCCAGTTGTCGCTCAGGCCAGGATGCAACTCAGCACTTCGGCCAGCAAACCGCACTCCTAGGAGATCCTGGGCTCCCAATTTGGAAACTCTGGTGTCAGGGCCAGGACTGACTGCCCCTGAGGCTCCTGACACCCAAACAACCACCACGAAACTCTAATTTTTATGTCAGTTCTTAGTTATTCCCCCTGGATCTATCTTGTTTCTCATCCCTTCAGACAGGAAGTACAAAATCAACGTTGCTGGATGATGAATGAATTGAATGCAGACACATAATCTCCAAACAAACAAAGGAGTATGCCTTGATGAAAATACCTGCCTTGATGACCCAACACAAGAAGAAAGGTCATTACTTAAAAACAAAAATTACGCCAGGCATGGTGGCTCACACCTGTAATCCAGCACTTTGGGAGGCTCAGGAGGGCAGATCACCTGAGGCAGGGAGTTCAAAACCAGCAGCCTGACCAACATGGAAAAACCCCATGTCTACTAAAAATACAAAATTAGCCAGGCGTGGTGGCTCATGCCTGTAATCCTGTAATACTCGGGAGGCTGAGGCAGAAGAATCACTTGAACTCGGGAGGCAGAGGTTGCTGTCAGCCGAGATCACACCATTATAGTCCAGGCTGGGCAAGAAGAGCGAAACTCAGTCTCCAAAAAAAAAAGCCAAGCGTGGTGTCTCATGCCTGTAATCCCACCATTTTTGAAAGCCAAGGCAGGTGGATCACCTGAGGTCAGGAATTCAAGACTAACCCAGCCAACATGGTGAAACCCTGTCTCTACTGAAAAAAAAATAGAAAAAAAAATGAGCAGGCGTGGTGGGCATATCCCAGCTACTTGAGAGGCTGAGGCAGGAGAACTGCTTGAACCTTTCATTGCTTGAAAGGTTGCAATGAGGCAAGATGGCGCTACAGCACTCCAGGCTGGGCGACAAGTGAAACTTGGTCTAAGAAAAAAAACAAAAATTAGGCTGAAAAACAAAATGGTTCACATCTGTAATCCTAGCAGTTTGAGAGGCCAAGGCAGGTGGATCGCTTGGGCCCCGGAGTTTGATACCAGCTTGGGCAACATAGCGCCCCATTTCACAACATGGTGAAACCCTGTCTCCATAAAAATAAAAATAAAGGCCGGGCGCGCTGGCTCACGCCTGTAATCCCAGCACTTTGAGAGGCCGAGGCAGGCAGATCATGAGGTCCGGAGATCAAGACCATCCTGGCTAACACAGTGAAACCCCATCTCTACTAAAAATACAAAAAATTAGCCAGGCATGGTGGCAGGCGCCTGTAGTCCCAGCTACTCAGGAGGCTGAGGCAGGAGAGTCACTTGAACCTGGGAGGCAGAGGTTGCAGTGAGCCGAGATCACACCACTGCACTCCAGCCTGGCGACACAGCAAGACACTGTCTCAAATAAATAAATAATTTTTTTAAAAATACAAAATGTGTTGAGCAAAATACAATACCAACAATTTCCACTATTACGTGCCTACCATGTGCTGCGGCAACATACTCTGTAACCCATCCCCTTCTAACAAAAAAGAAACTAGCTTTTAAATTTAGGCCAGGCGCGGTGGTTCACGCCTATAATCCCAGCACTTAAGGAGGCCAAGGTAGGCAGATCACTCGAGGCCAGGAGTTTGAAACCAGCCTGGGCAACACTGTGAAACCCTATCTCTACTAAAAATACAAAAATTAGCCAAGCGTGGTGGTGCACGCCTGTAATCCCAGCTATTCGGGAGGCTGAGTCTGGGAAGTCAAGGCTGCAACGAGCCGCGATCGCGCCCCTGCACTCCAAGCCTGGACGACAGAGAGAGACCCTGTCTCAAAAAAAATAAAAATGAAAAATCAGACTCACACAGATGGAGAGGAGAGCTGATGGAAAGAGCCGGGGCTGGAAGTCGTGGTCAAGAGGTTGCTGTGTGTGCTTCCCCACTTCATCATACCCAACTTCCATTCCCTCTGCTTTCCAGAACAGTGACAGCAAACACTGACTGCTGACTCCACACCAGGAATCTTTAAATGCTTAGCATATACTCCTATCTCACACCACCCTCTGGAGGGAGGTAATCCCCATTTTTCAGACAAAGGCACTGTGCAGAGAGGTTAAGTAACTTGCCCAAGGTCACACAGCTGGTGGCAGCAGACGTGGGATTCAATCTCAGGCCAGCTAGTTCGGGTAAGAGTGATGCCCCTCTACCCTCGCTGCTCACAAGCTCCAAGGAGGAGGAGAAACCCCCCTGTCATTTCCCACGACCCCATGAAGGCGAGCTGATGAATGTAAAAAGTGGAACCGTCTCCTGGCACTTGGCACTTCTGCCTGGGCTCAGGGCCACACAGATACCTCCAGCTTAATCCCACCCCAAATCTGCCGCCTCTGCTCAGCCTGAGGATGGGGTCGGAGCAGCAGGTGAGAAGGGGGGCTGGGGGTCCTGCTGCCAGCCCCGAGTCAGCCAGGCCTGGGCAGAACTACCAGAGGGTCATTTCTGGACAGTTCTGTGGTGACCTCCTCCACAGGGGAGGATCCAGGTGTCCCAGACACCTAAAGTGCCACTTTGGAGACCAATATAGAGATGGGAAAATAAACAAAGCTAAAATAGCCCAGGGAGCTTAGGCCCAGAAGGGGCATGGAGAGAAGCCAGCTGCCCCCGTGGGTGGAGCTGGTGAGCAGAAGCAGCTCCCACTTCCCTTCCCACCAGCCACAGGCGGCTCTCGCCAGCCCTGCCACAGGAACCAGAACCTGTCACTGCTCCAGCCTGGCCGGCTCAGCCCTTCCAAGCCTCAAAGCATCAGGCCCAGCCCCCAGCTTGAGGCAACTGGGTTTGCTGTCCCCATTTGACTGCTGAGGAAGAACAGCCCTGAGAGGAAAGACAGCTCTGGGCCCAGTCTCGGGCCACACAGCTAGGGGTGGTGGGAAGGGAGACAGGACTGCAAAGAAGGCAGTTCACATTCCTCCCTGCCTGATCTGGCCCTCAGCCCCCACCCCCGAGGACCCCCACCTCAGGGGGACAGAGCTGGGCCCTCAGTGCAAAGCCCTACCCTAACCTTGCACCCCTCAGAGAATACAAGCAGGGTCAGTGCTCTCCTGCCCATGGGCCCATCTCTTAAGCTTCTTAAAGTGGGATCAAAAGTCCTTATCAGAATCACAGGGGAGTCAAAACACAGATTCTTACACCTTACCCAGAGCTGCCAGGCAAGTCCGTTGGGTGGTGCCTAGAAATCTGCATTCTAACAAGCCCTCCCTACTTGGCGGTGACTGATGCATCCTGCAGGGTGGGAGCTGTCAGCACCATTCAGAGCAACCGGCTCCAGGGCCAGATTGCAGGGCTTGATCTCTCCCTCTGTCCGTGGGCTCAGGGCAAGCGGGACAGCCTCTGTAAACACCAGCGTCCCTATCTGTATGATGGAGATGGTAACAGCCACTCTTTCACCAGGTGGCTGTGACAATTAAAACAAGTCAGGCATACACACACACACACACACACCCCCTACCGGCACGGTCTGGCCCTCAGTGAGACCTTAATGAAAAGTGACCGCCATTCTTATCTCCCCAGAGCCCTGCCCAGCAGGGAACCCAGCAGGCCAGGCCTCTGGGAAACAGGGCACAGGCCAGGGACAGGAGCCCCCAAACCCAGAGGGTGGTGCCAGCTTTCCCTGTGGGGAGCAGAAGCAGCCCCTGCCAACAGCAGGCTCTGCCCACCTGCTGCCCATCCTGGCCAGGGGGAACCACGTGGAGTGCTTCCTCCTCAAACCCCACCGCTCCGGGATCAGGCGCCAGGGGCAAAAAGTGCTGCAGCCATGCTTCTGTGAGGGGTTTGAATTTCTCCCCTGAGAAGGAAGGGGGTGTGTGTGTGTGTGTGTGTGTGTGTGTGTGTGCGTGTGTGCAAGCAATTTCTTTCTTTCCCTTTTTTTAGGGACAGGGGGACAGGGTCTCACCCCGTCATCCAGGCTGGAGTGTAGTGATGCCATCATGGCTCACTGCAGCCTCCGACTCGTCAGCTCAACTGATCCTCCCGCCTCAAATTCCCAAGTAGCTTCAACCACAGGTGCACACCCCCATCCCTGCTAGTTTTGTTTGTTTCTTTCACAGGGACCAGGTATTGCTATATTGTCCCGGCTGGTCTCGAACTCCTCGGCTCAAGTAATCCTTCCACCTTGGCCTCCCAGAGCACAGAGATTATAGGCATGAGCCACAGTCCCCAGCCATAAACTATAAAACTTCTCTACAGCATAAAGAACTATCATGTTTCTTATTAAGGTAGAGAATGTTTCTTCGGGAGCGGAGAGTCTCAGGGTGAGACAACCCTGCATTCAAAGCTGTCAGTGTCTATTTCCTCTTCTCTAAAGGGAGGGATCCTACAGCTGCGCGGGACTGGGTGAGGATTAAAGGAGCACATGTGCCCGGAGCACTTATCAGCTGTTCACATTGTTACGGCCTCTCCTCCTACCCGCGGGACCTCAGCCAGTCCCTCAACGTGGCTGGGCCTCAGTCGCCTCCTCTGTAACAATGGGGAAGGCAGCACCTTCCTGACAGATCAGCTGGGAGGATTCCCAGAGAGGGTGCATGGAGAGCCCGACACAGGGCAGGGTCGCTTCTCCCTGATGGACGGACCCAGGCTGTCAGTCAAGATCAGGCAGCAGTAGTCCCCTCCAGAGGACCCGGGAGAGGCCTCCCTGTGGCCCAGTGGAACTTCTGCAGTCTTCTGCTGTTCTGGGGCACCTGCCCACGTGGTAAATTCCCCTACAGGTATTCTCTCGCGTAATTCTTTCATCTGCTGAAACCCCACCACCACCACCAGGTTTGTCCGGGAAGCCCTTGCACCCCCAGCCAGGGTGAGTCAGTTGTCCCGTTCTCAGGGCTCCAGACCCTTTGCTTATTCTTCACTGTCCCTGAGGACTGGAACCCGTCCTCCCCCACTGCAGGGGCACACCACGTCCCACTCCGCAGGGCTCTAGAAAGTCAAGCCAAAGGAGACAAAGGCGGGACAGCCCCCCTGCCCATGGGGGGCAGATTTGGGACGTGGCTCTAGAGGGTGAGCTGCACAGCCTCAGAATGGCATGACTTGGAGGGGCAAATAACTTGGTCCTCCCGAACTCATCCTTTGTGGGTGAGTGTGAATGGGGAAGAGGGAGGGGTGAACAGCTTCCCAGAGGAGGTGGGCTTTAGGGAGCCCCAGAGCAGGCTCAGTAGATACCCCCACACCTCTCCAACACCCTCTAGGTAGGAAGCTGGGGAGCGCTCTGCCCTGCTCCTTTGATAAAGTCAGGGGCGGGGGCCGAGAGTCAAGGCAATGCCCGGATTGATTTCAGCACCTCGGCCTTGCAGAGTCACCGCGGGGGAAGGTGCTCTTGCCCAACGTCCGGCCTACAACGTCCCTCCCCAGCATCCCTGCCCCCACAGCCCCTCACCTGACTCTGGAGCTCACTCTGTTGCTTGAGGCGAAGGTTTTCCGGGGTGTCGGCCACCATGGTGAAGGACTGCTTGGGGTAGTGTCTGCAGGAAGCAAAAAAAGACTTGGGGTCAGTCTGGGGAAGGGGCAGGAGCCACTGGGCTTCTCACAGAGCGCTCTCTCTCCTGGGAACTACCTCCTAGGCCTGGGCAGCCCTTGCCACGGCCCCGCAGGGGGACCTCAGTGTCCACTGCCAATGCCAAGGGGAGATAAGCATTTCTCAGACTCAGCTGGGACTGGCTGACCTGGGAAGACACAGCAGGCATCAGTGGCACGCCGGCCAGGAGAACCGTCTTGAGCGAAAGGATGGCCATCCGGGCACTCTCTGAGGGCTGAGGGTCCCCCTTGTCTGGGGATAATCCATGCCCTAGTGCCTACCACACACAGAACTCGAGGCTACTGGGCCCGACTGGGGGAAGATGGGCACGGGTTCACCTAAGACCAGAAGTGGAGACCAGCCATGCAGAGGAGGGTACAGGGAGACAGAAAAAGAAGGGGACAGGCAGGTGTGGTGGCTAACGCCTGTAATCCCAGCACTTTGAGAGGCCAAGGTGGGCGGGTCACAAGGTCAGGAGTTCAAGACCAGCCTGGCCAACATGATGAAACCCCGTCTCTACTAAAAATACAAAAAATTAGCCAGGCGTGGTAGCACATGCCTGTAATCCCAGCTACTCAAGAAGCTGGGGTAGGAGAATTGCTTGAACCCGGGAGACAGAGATTGCAGTAAGCTGAGACCATGACACTGCACTCCAGCCTGGGCAGCAGAGCAAGACTCCATCTCAAAAAAAAAAAAAAAAGAAAGAAAAAAGAAAATGAAAGGGACACACATATCCAGGGGGACTTCCTAGAGGAAGTGGTGACAGAGAAAACACAAGACCAATGTGGTGTTTCAAAGGCTGAACAAGGTCCAACTTAATTTCAGCATAGGCGGGAAGGCCAGCCTGAGAACAAAAAAGGAGGTCACCTGCGGGTGACAGGTAAAATACAGATTGAATGTCCCTTATTAAGGGACCAGATGTGTTTTCGAAACCAGGTGTGTTTCAGATTTGGGTTTTTTTTTCAGATTTTGGAATATGTGAATATCTATACTGAGACATCTTGGGGATGGGACCATTTCCTACACACCTCCTACACATCATGCAATATTTTAAATGACTTTGTGCACGAAACAAAATTATTGACTGCTTTTTGACGTATGACCTATTACACGAGGCCGGATGTGGAATTTTCCCTGGGGCGTTGTGTCAGCACTCAAAGTTTTATATCTTAGAGCACTTCAGATTCTGGATTTTCGGATTGGGGCTGCTCAATCTGTAGTAACAACAGTGGCTCATGCCTGTAACCGTAGCACTTCGGGAGGCTGAGGCCGGCAGATCATGAGGTCAGGAATTCAAGACCAGCCTGGCCAACATGGCCAAACCCTGTCTCCACTCAAAATACAAAAATTAGTGAAACGGGGCCGGGCGCGGTGGCTCAAGCCTGTAATCCCAGCATTTTGGGAGGCCGAGGCAGGTGGATCACAAGGTCGAGAGATCGAGACCATCCTGGTCAACATGGTGAAACCCCGTCTCTACTAAAAATTCAAAAAACTAGCTGGGCATGGTGGCACGTGCCTGTAATCCCAGCTACTTAGGAGGCTGAGGCAGGAGAATTGCTTGAACCCAGGAGGCGGAGGTTGCGGTGAGCCGAGATCACGCCATTGCACTCCAGCCTGGGTAACAAGAGCGAAACTCCATCTCAAAAAAAAAAAAAAAAAAAAAAAAAAATTAGTGAAACAGTGGTGTGCGCCTGTAATCCCAGCTACTCGGGAGGCGGAGGCAGGAGAATTGCTTGAACCTGGGAAGAACTGAGGCCAGAGAGGTTAAAAAACATGGCCAAGGCACACAGGGATCCAGCTCTGTGCCCAGACAATCTCTTCAGTTCATGCTGAACTAAGCTGCCCAATTTCCAGGCCCAAGAAGGCCTGACCTCCGCAAGAGGGCTTAGCTTGGAGGTAGCCGGGGCCAGGGCAACCCTCAGAGCCTGCAGAGACCTCCAAAAGAGTCTAGTCCAACTCCCTCATTTCAGAGGAAGAAACAGTGTGCCGGCACCAGGCACTTCTCCCTTAGCTGTCTTCATAATTAACTGATTTATCACAGCAACGTGTTGTCTCCTCTCTCCACTACTTCTCTATGAGGGGAGGGATTTTGGGGTCTCTTTGGTTCATTGATTTATCTCAGGCTCCTAGAATAGAAGGCAGTGCTCAATAAGTAAGTTTTGAATAAACAGAAGTCAGGCTGGGTGTGGCGACCCACACCTGTGATCCCAGCACTTTGGGAGGTCAAGGCAGGTGGATCACTTGAGGCCAGGAGTTCGAGACCAGCCTGCTAACATGGTGTAATTCCATCTCTATTAAAAATACAAAAATTAGCCAGGCACAGTGGCGCACAACCGTAATCCCAGCTACTGAGGAAGCTGAGGCAAGACAATCGCTTGAACCTGAGAGGCAGAGAATTGCAGTGGGCCATGATTGCACCACTGCACTCTAGCCTGGGTGACAGAATGAGACACTGTCTCAAAAAAAAAAAAAAAAGTCACACCAGGAGTTAAAGCTGGTACAGGACTAGAACTCAGTCCTCCTCCATCCCCCTCATCACGAGGTCCCCTGGCAAACCAGCTGCAGGAAAGACAGACAGCTGTGAGTCATGGTGGTTTGTGCGTACGTGCTGGTATGAGAATCGGCTGAGGGGCTGCACGGGCCCCAATTACTTCAGGGACTGGTGGGTGGTTTCTCCAAGCAGGAGCCCACCAAGCCATTTTTAGCCCTGGGTGACCACAGCCCACCACAGCTGCGAGCCCTGCAGATTCCTGACTTACAGGCCGCACCCAGGTAAGCCATGGATCACCTCTTCCTAGGCACATCCCACCCAAGGCGGACACACCCATGAGCTAGGCACCAGCTGCCCCTCTGCCCGGCAGCCCCTGTTCTCCAGCCGCCCACACCACCATTCATCAGAGCTACCTGTAAACAGGCGACTTCCCCTAAGGCCACCCACCACTTGTGAAGGGCAGGGCTCAGGATTTGAGGACTCAGTCAAGGGAGGCATAACCTGAAAGGGCCCAGTGCAGGGCTCTGGCCCGGCCACTGACTTAACTGGGTGACCTTGGCAAATCCTTCTTCCCTTGGGCCAGTTTCACTGTCCCAGATCCAGGTGATTCCAGCAGTCCCCTCCCCCAGCCCTCACCGGGGTCCTGGCCATCCAGCAGAGGAAGGAAAGCAGATGAGGCATGGCAAACACAGGCCGGGCGAGGTGGCTCACGCCTATAATCCCAGCGCTTTGGGAGGCTGAGGCGGGAGGATCACAAGGTCAGGAGTTTGAGACCATCCTGGCCAACATAGTGAAACCCCATCTCTTAAAAAAAAATAATAATAAATAAATAATAAAGGCAAACACAGGTGCCCACAGCTGGCAACAGACATGGCCTGTGATGAACGTGCAGCCAAGTCTGGGGTCCAGTCCCCATGCCACCCACAGAGCCACCCACAGCTGAGGAGCTCCCTTCAAAGTTCCTGCACAATTCTAGGGCAAGAGAGGATCAAGCTGGAGTCTGTTCCCTCCTGAAGGCTAGAAAGGGAAGATCTCTAGCAGGGCCGGCAGGCCCTGAGGCTTTAAGAGGGAGGCTTCAGAGACAAGAGAACCCTCCCCCAAATCAGAGCCATTCTGCAAGCTGTATGGGCGGGGGTGGGGGGGCTGCGGAGAGGAGGGCGTCTGGAAGCAGAGGCACATGTGGCAGGGGCAGGTTCGGGGAGAGGAGACCTCCAGGCCGCTCTGGCCCAGCACTCAAAGACTCAATTCTGAAAAGATGAAGCTGGTTAGCATTTGGTGGGAGGGGCAGAGGCACGCAGGGCAAATGCATCCTCGGAGGCCAGTCTGCAAACCCTAGGGTTTCTCATTTGCCGGAATGCACAGGGTTAAAACAGGCCAGGCTGGGCGCAGTGGCTCACACCTGTAATCCCAGCACTTTGGGAGGCCCAGGCGGGCAGATCTCTTGAGGCCAGGAGTTCAAGACCAGTCTGAGCTACAGCACAAGACCTCATTTTAAATAAATAAATAAAACAGAGGCTAGCCCCTATGGCCCAAGGACCACCAGACAGGTGCACCTGACGTGCTCCACCCGCTCCACAGCCCAAAGCTCCTGCACACACTGCACTGTGCCTCGCACACGATGAATATACAGATGTGCCCTCTGCACGGACGGGCGCCTCCAAGGAACCGAGGCCAGCAGGTCTACACTTGGCACACACACCGCCGCACCCGACACTGTGTCCCTCTGCTCGCCCTACACCCACTGGAAGGTCTCGGGAGCCCCTCTGACATGAAGCAGGCACCTTGTGTGAGGTTGGCAGGTAGTTCATCCTCTCTTTGGAAGCACCCCTACCCCCACTCTCAGCCCCCCACAGCTGGAGCGCTAATTCCATCAGAAGGGAAGTGGGGCTGAGCCAGCCCAGATGTGAGCTCAGCTTAATTTGGCAGGGGCGAGGGAGGATTTTAATCCTGCATCAGATTAACTAAAGAGGCACTCCAGACCCACCAAGCTCCTACCCCAGCCCACTAAGCCCAACCCCGGCAGAGGAAGACAGGCAGACAGCTCGGGTTATATTCCTCCTGCTGGGTCAACCCTGTCCCCTCCCCACAGCCCAAAGTCCCCAGCCCCCAGTCCTGGCGAGACGACTCTGCCTTTCCCTCCTCCTGCTCACTACGCTTCAGGTTTCCATGGCAACCTCATCTTCAGCTCCAGGCAGGAGAGCATCGAGAGAGAGAGAGAAAGAGAGAGACAGCGATAGAGCGAGAGAGAGTGAGAGAGACAGCGAGAAAGCGAGAGAGAGAGAGAGAGCGAGAGAGAGAGAGACAGCGAGAGCGAGAGACAGAGAGAGAGAGAGAGAGAGAGAGAGAGAGAGAGGAGGTCTATGGGGGTGGGGGAAGAGACACAGACAGCAAGGGGGCCCTCAACTAAGGAGAAGCCCATGAGGGCAAAGTCAGGAGACGTGTCTCCAGGATATTTG